ATGGTTGATTCATAGTACATAATATTCTAAAAGGTGTCTCTGAGATCACATCCAAAAATTTATCCCCTAGATTATTTTAGACTTTAATTCAAATCCTACTGTTCATCTGTGGATATTTTTTCCTCTGATATGCTTGCACAAAGATGAGGAAAGAGTTCAGTCCTTACATATTTGCAGAGCCCTGTCCTTTTATACTGATAACAAGAAGCAATTCAGATTTTTGTCAAGACTCTTCATTTCTTAAGCAGAGAGAATAAAAGGTCAGACAGTATAAGTTCAGCAAATTTCTAACACTTTAGATAAGGAATTGCTACATTTTAGACAACAGTTCTGTAGCTAAAAGAATATCTGTTCAGTTGTATAGAATGTGGATTTCTTGGTGTTTTAAAGCAATTCCTTTACGGGACTGACGGCATGTTTTTCTACATGTAATTTTCCATTTTATTTTATGTGTGTATTTCAATGTTGCCTGTACCCCTGTGGACTTTAGGAAAACAAATTCTGTTCTTTCATTCCAAGGCAGCTGCCTGGAAGTTGGCTGTATTGGACGAGATGTGTCGGACGATTTGAAAGAGGAGAAAAAGCATGAGCTTACTGTTGTCGTAACAGTTAATGGTTATGAAAATATGTTCTGTACAGATACATTCCACAGTGCTCACATATTACGTTCATCATCGGTTTTTATTTCAAAGGAACTCAAAGGGGCTTCTTTACCCCTTCTGGGAATGGGAATATACATGTGTTCTATTTGACGATACTATTGGAAAAAATGGGGCTCGACTGCATGAGTTGGCAAGGCATCTCAAAAGAACAGCAATAAATGCAGGTTATTTTATATAAATGTATTTTATATTTATTTCCTTTTCTTCTCATAATTAAAGATTTTAGACAGGCATAGTACCTTTAAAGGTAGCAAAACTCATTCTCTTTGCTTGTGTATTGAACTTCCTGTCTTTGAATTGTATTTCCTTTACTGGGGGTAATTGTGTTGGTTTGTTATTTAGATATTGAGGATAGATCCTGCCACTCTGTAGCCTTTATTGGTTACAAAAGCAAATTTAAGCTGAGTAGAACTGATTACATTTCTTAAAAATGTTAATTGTGAAATCGCTGAAATATGCAAGAGCAGAGCTATACCAAAATTAAGTATGGAGCTGGCTACCTATGTCTCCTCTTATTTGAAATTATGCTTGAATTTAACTGTGTTCATAAATGCATCCCGAAGTTTGGAGGCAGAAAGAGCTACTACTTAAATCTGGAAGCTCTTAAAGGAGTTAACCCTAAGCTCTGCAGAGGGTTGAGGTGGCATGCATGCAGCAGGTAGGAAGTTGTTCTGAGAGTCTGCCAAGGAGAAGGAAGAGGGTAGGTATGTGAAAGGACTGTCACTGCTGGTAAGGGGGTGAAATCTTCACATAGCACTCTTCTCTTAGAGCTGCTGAAGTAGAGACCGCTCTGATCATGTAAGTGAAGTTGAAAATGTTTTGAACTGCTCAGACGAAAGTGCCTCAGCTTGAATCTTCTCCTGTTCTCCACTGTTCATCTCCTGTACTTTGACAAAATTCTAGAAAACTGGAAAGGGCCCACTTCTCTGCATATGGATTATGAATAAGCAAATTGCTTATTAATAGGAAAGAATTTGGAAAACCTATAATTTGGGGAAACATTGAATCAGTATAATAGAGACTAAACTAGGTATTTTGGAAATTCTGGATCCCAAAGCATGGAACTGTATGGCAGCTAAGGGATTTGAAATTTCATACTGATTGGGTATCAGTGTATCTGTCATGCATGCGTAAGTTCTACAAGTAATGAGGTATATATTCCTTCTGAGGATATTTTACAAGCATTTGAAGTTCTACAGACTCCAATAATGAGTACAATGGATTGATGATAGCAATAGGAGGATATAGAATGGAGCAAAATGAGCTTGAATGTCAGGTGCATCTGTAGCATACTGAATATTTGCTTTAGGAAAATGGTGGAAATCCTGTGTTCTTAGCATACTTAAAATGGATTGAAGAGTGGAAGAGGACAAGGGAAAAGCTGGGGAACATTATTTGACTCCTGAAAAGGTCATTTTGAAATGCACAGTGAAGTGGCTTATCTTGGAAGGAGATCATGGTTGATCCACGATGTAGTGTATTGAATTAGTTTTTTGATAACTAACAATCTGAAGTAGAAGAATTTGAAAGATGCCTTTAGGATAAATAATCATACTGTTAATGCTTTCCTTTTCAATAATATTATTACTTGGAATTAGTTTCTCTCCATTTAAAGAGCAAATTACTTTATGGCTATTTTTTGTTAGACATTACTATGTTATGAGGTGATGTATTTGTACTGGCAAACATTTAAAAAATCTTCATTTTTTTGAGAGAATTACAAGTTGTAAAGTATATTACTATACATAAACTGAATTATTTTATGTTATCTTCCCATATGGAAGCAAAGTCGGCCCTAGAGAGCATAAATTAAGTGGAGCAATTTGGGAAAGAGTAAAGTGATTGTTTTCATAGAAAGCTCGCTTTTAGAGAGCCAAGATTTGCAAACCGTATGCATCTGTTGTTTCTCTTTTGGTGTTTTATTTTCCAGCTTTCTAACTTTTGGCCCTTCAAAACATCTCTTTCATCTCACCTTTATACTCTTATCTTCAATTTCTACCCTTTTGTTACCTTCACATAAGCACCTGCTATCTCTGCGTGAGTCATTGACAAAATTGCAATATAAATTTCTCTGCTAGAGCAATCTGCAAAGTATAGAAATCAAACTATCTGTTCCCCTTTTCCAGTACTGGAAGCATGTACTCTCTTCACTTCATTGCATATTATTAATTAAAGCATGCCTTTGCTAATAATCACTACCAATATGTTGTCATCTCCCGTATTAATTTCAATACTATTATACTCCAAATCTCATTACAGGCAAAATGAAACACACTTTATATAACAGATACTTTATATCTGTTCTTAGACTAATTGAAATCTTACCAGTACAGTCATGGAATTCTTACTAATCTGGATCTGATTATTAAAAAAAAAAAAAAAAGAAAGAAAAGAATACAATTACACATGCTTCATAGTATCTTTTCCTTTTTCTTTTTCTGATTTTGTCCTCACACTTCCCCCCTTTTTTTTTTTCCTGAATCCTGAGGTTGGGGATTTTAATGTAAAGCGGGGAGATGTTATGGGAAATCATCAGTGTCCCAGGTTTTTTGCTGGGAGAAGTATGATGCTTTCTTTTTTCTTACTGTAGGGTCCACCTCGGCTATTTTTTTTTTTTGGTTTTCCAACACTTTTACAGTTTACTTTTTCCTCCTTGATCTGCAACTACACCTAACATTGGAGTTGACTATGTAAATGGGGGTTGTCTTATATATGTTGGATGCTTGCCCTTTGTTCTGTTTGTTACCAGCTCTCAGGTTAGTATTTCTCTGACCGTTGGTGAAATAACTATAGGCCTGGGGTCTCCAGTGTCATTCTGTGCTTCCTCTCTTATCATCCCGTACAGGAGCACTGCATCCTGTGTTTCCACTTTTGAGACCTCTACTATTATCCCATACCTCTGTTCTTCTACGCTACATCATTTTGTTGGCTATAAATATTTCATCCTAAATAGAATAATTACTTGCTATTACTATCTGTATAAAAGCAAAACAAAACAAAAAAATGGTTATACCCTGCAAAGATAAACAAAAATAATATAAACTAAGCATAGCCACCTGGTCTTTAAGAAAATTGCTGTTACAGCTAAGTAAGTTAAAACAAAACTCCAGGCAAGCCAAGACAACTTTGGGTAAAGCTGAACAAGAATCAGTCATAAGGCCTTGCAAAGATGGTACAAAACCTATCACTGGAAGTGGTAATATTGCATTTACTGGGCAACAGAGCTACACTAGCTTATGTTTATTTCACAAATGTATTACTAAACATTCTTTAAAGAAAAGCAGAAGATTCTCCTCCCCACTTTAACATAATTGTTATTAGTAAAAAACAGTCCACTCTGGTTTAGCTAACTATCATAATGTGTACTGTGGCAACCCAGTATATTATTTTCCATACCTCTTAGTCTTGAATTTTTAAGTTCCTGATCCATGTGCTTAAATCACTCTGAGTATATTATGCTGGTGGGACTATTTGTGTGCAGTAAAAATGAGCGTATACATAATTTTTGCAAAAACTCCAAGTTAGGTCCAGTTTCCACAACTACTTATCTGTGTTAATAAGTCAGAAGACATGGTTAGGTGATCCAAGCTTTCTATTTCTGTTTTTCTCATTTGGCAATCAAAAGATACTATATTTTCCTCTTTAAGATAGTGATAATGACTATTGCTATGGCTGTGATTTTTGTCACATAAATTCTACAGCATGATCTTCTGCAACAAGTTATGTCTGTTTTTATAATTCTCTTATATCCCTACTGTAACTCCACATTTCTTTCCACAGGGAATTTTAGTTTCCTGCAGACTCTTATCATTGGTCTTCTTCATAGCTAAAATGAAACAGCCTTATAGGACACAATGTAAGAATTTTGTAAGATGGAACAGATCTTTTTTAGAGAATTGAATTTTTTTTTTTCTGATGATTTTTTATTTCATTTCACACACCTGAAAAGAAACAGTTAGGCTAAACATTCAGATTAGGTTAGAGACAGAAATAACTTCATAAAAGGTTGTACAAATTTCAAACAGTAATTTTCAGAACATTTGCCATGCATGCTTTTTGTCATATAGATGTGTAAACATGGCAATTCCAAGTGCACATAAAGACCGGATTATTTCAAGTGAGATTTTGAAAATCTGTCTTGAGACATTTTCTAACGGAAGTCATTAAGAATTTTATGAGAAAAACACTTCTGAAGAACCTATCCTAAGCATCTATTAGGCAGATATTGTATTTATTTAGATAAACCATTATGTACTAAAAGTAATATCACCAGCAAAGTAGATTTCTACTCAGTTCCTCTGGATAAATAAATCAATGTATTGTTTTTCTATTTTCCAGTGTGTTGTGTTTGCTATGACATCTGGTCAAATGTGGAATCACATCCGTGGACCCCCGTATGCTCATAAAAATCCTCAGAATGGACAAGTGGTGAGTGGATTCTTTTTATTTTATTTTGTGGGGAAATAATGTATAGGTAGGCATTTCCTGCAGTGACTATCTACAGATGTAATGATTGCTGTTCTACAGCACTGTATGACAGTGTACCAGGGTCTTAATTCTTAAATTGCAAGCAGAGTCTTTTACAGAATTTCAGGCATTTAGAAAGTACCACCATCTTTGATTTGAGCACTGAAACGAGTGGCCCTATTTTTCAAAATTCTCTCTGCCAGGTTCCCAGCTGCAGTGAATGTGTTATAAAATGTTCAATACTATGTGATTTCAACTGCCCAAAAATAAGCAGGCGTTGTACCTTTTTGTAGAAATGTGCTCCCTCGCAAGGGGAAAAAACAAGAATTGTTGATTCCCCCCCCCCAATCCGTCAGTCTCCATTTACACAAACTTTGAGGTTTGAAACCTCTTATCTTCCTCTTGCTTGCAGCATTTTAGTTAGAGGAGATGGTAAATGTTCCTATGTGCTTTTTACTAATTTCTATCATACCTGTCACTTTTCCACTGAACTTTGCAGAATGTTTTTTCCTCTTTGCTCCTTCAATTTAAATGCTTTATCACCTTTCTTAGGAAGTCCCCATTAGTTGAGTACTGCCGAAATTACTATTATATTCTACTACTGCTGTCTGTGAAGGAATTCTCTCCGTTGCTGGTCCCTGCTCACAAATCAGCAAATGTATATTAAAGTTCAGAAGGAGAAACTGTCTTTGACAAATGGGGAAGTAGAGTACCATGGCTAGTTCCTCCCACTCTTTGTCATTTACCACTTTTCAAATAAGTTGTTGGAATAGGATTTACAAAACTTGCAGTTAAGTTATTCAGACAGGAAAGTTCCATACTTTGTGGAATGTTGAGCGATTTTCAGCTTTACCCGTGACTAGTTAATAGAGGCTGGCTTAGGTCTCAAAGAATAAATTTTCTCCCAAGTTTCCTTTGATGTATCATATCTTAATTGGAGCAGCAAAAAGTGATGGTTTGAATTTGATTACTGATCTGCTTTGTATCAGGAATGTAGGAACATATTGATGTCATAAAATGACATGCTTCCATTTGTCAACTTTGTTATGCAGAAGTAGAACTGATAACGTAATAAATAATGTCTGTAAAATACTGTGTTTATAAGAATTTAGAATTTTTCATTTCTGCCTTGCTGTATTAAATTTATGATGTCTTCCTACAGAGTGACAGAAAGGAGAAATACTGCATAGAAAAAACACCATTCCTGACAAATTAATTTTACCATATCTGTTTTCATACATACTCCCCTTCTTAAAGACCTATTTCTGATGTGTAGCCTACATTAAATCATATAAAAATGCCCCGTTAATTTTTTTTTGTTTCCTAAATTTGTGCCATCTTGTCTTAGTTTTCCAAGCGAGAACTTTCATATCCTATCTGAGTGTCTGAAAAGCTACTAGCTTGGAAATGATAACAATAGCAATCAAATAATAAAAATGTTAGTAGAGATGATCTGACATTCTGGTTAATGACTTGCTGTATTGTCTACACATATTTCTCCTCTGTTTTTGGTCCATTATATGACTTCAGGCAAGTCGTTTTGTGTCTCTGATTCACCTCTCATTGTTTATGTGTCACCTCTTTGGAGCTGTACTGTACTGCTTTACTGTACAGTACTGCCACCTTTTTGGTGCTTTCTGTATGAGTAAGTAAAACAAGTACCAGCCAAATTCTAAGAATTCAAAAAAGTCCTAGGTGCAGAATCACAAATTCCTAGTTTATTTAAAATAGCACTGGGCAATGTAGTTGTAACTTAAAGCTATGAAATGTACCAGGGTTAAAAGCTTCATAAATATTCTCTAAACCTTTACATATTTCAGATTGTAATTTTTTTCAAAGAAAATGATTGAATACCTTCCTGTTTCATTTTTCTAGCACTTCTTATGTTCCTCTGAATTTGGAGTCATAAAAGTCTACTACTTGCATAACTCTTCTATGACGTTTATTCAACTATGACAATTCATTTTTCAGTGTCCAGGAGTTAGTCTTAATTCCAAATTTGCCCTAATGTACAGAAACCACAGTACTAGCATGTGAAGATTCTATTCTCAAGTTCTACTCTATCTTTAAGAGTGTTGGTAAGCATATAATAGCTTACCAATCTTAACTGTTTTATTGTTAGGCTCAAGTTTCTTAATGCTTAGTTTTTCTCATTTCGTATGAAGAATTAAGTCATTCAGTCCTGTAACTAGCTGTGAAACCAGAAATACCACCATGTTCTGTTCCGTCTTCATGAACAGTTCCTTGCCTCAGAGATCTCCTACTGTTTGCTTTGTTCTTGTCATTATTTTTAAATGACATTTCATCTCTCCTCCTTAAATTCTTGTTTTGTCAAAAGATGAAAAGCCATTTGTCAGCTTCACTTCAACAACACTACTTACAAGTGCCAATATCTTGCAATACTACAACTTCAAAATTTTCAGCTTGTGCGCTGTATTTATCACTCTGCACTTGATTACCTTAATTACCTTCTATGTGTAATTGTATTCTTTGAAATAAGCTTTTAAACCATATTTATGTAATTCTCTGTGGGTCTATTCTGTGAAGTTGGTATGATCTCTTACTGAGGTTGTAGTTGCTTCCCTTATTCCCCATAGACTTCATCTAATTTCAGAATTTGGGTCCATGTGCAAGTGGTAGCAGTTTCTTATGTGGAAGGCAGAATCACACAGTAACTTTGATAATGTTTTTCGGTTCTATTTTTAGTTGAACCTAACTGGTGCTAATAGAGTTCTATCTTGACACATGATCTCTTCATTATATTTTTGGAGTTCTTCACCTTTTGCTTCATAGTTTATTTAGAATTAGGCACTTAGTGGTCATGTGATGCTGAATTCTGTACCTCTTTCACCTGAATTGAGAGGGGAAATCAAACATTGCACTGATGTCTGCATATAAACAGTCTTGGGAGAGCTCTAGTTTTTGTTCAAAGCTTGACCTGTACAACACTGCTGATGAGACAGGTAGAATGCTGGAGAACACAGTGAAATATAATTAAGCCTAGGAGGTTGTTCCCTTGCTGTTTAATTGACTTAGTAGCAAGGAATTCTCATTAGATTTTCATCAGCTTTTAATCAAATTACAGCAATGGCTAGGAAAGCATTTACATATGTCTATCCAGGAATTACCAGCCCTTTTTTGATTTGGATGAAAATTCTACAGTTCTTCCTGTGCAAATACGGTTAAGACTACATCTTTAAAACAGCTGAAAATTTACTATAAAGGAGAACAAGACAAAGGACAGGCTAGATCTAAAATACTGAATTAAGGTGCATTTCAAAGCTCCTCATTTCCCTTCCTTCTCTGAGAAGAAATGATTAGAAGTTGAAAAAGTTTTTACAGGGAGAGGGAAATATGATACTGTTATTGTCAGATATTAGATGGTTTTCCTACAAAAGCTGGTGCTATGTGAAACAGATAATGATTTTATTTGCACTGTGTTTGCTGGATTTTTTTTTTACATGTCTTATGTCTTATATCTTAAAAACTTGTTAAAATTGCTTAAGCATAGCAAGAAATTTTGGCCTTAGGTAGCAACTTGTATCCATTTAGTAAATCTATTAAATAAAACACCTTGCAATATCAGATCAAATATAAATATCTATTCAGTTGCAGAGTTGTTTATTCAGGCTTTTTTTTCCTGCGTTAGCAGTTTTATAACCACTGATCCTTATGCAGGAACAGTCCCTAAAATATCACATTTCAAATGGTCTTGCTGCTAGGGGTATCTGGTATTCTGAAGGTTTCTGAAGTCAAATGAAAATATTATTTGACTGCTGTGAATCATTTTTCCATTTGTCAGTGGAAAATTAAGGTACTGTGCATGACAATGTATTTTTAGAATACCAAGATTCTTAATTCACGTTAGTCATATACAGCTAAGCAAGGCAAGATGTCATTTCAGTATATTCTTCTACGTTATTCTTACATAGCTTTTTCAAATGATTCTAATTAAAATAAACAACTATTTCTTGGAACTGGTTTAAAAAATGACTTTCCCTTTCAAGCTCAGTAAATCATAGTAAGCACATAATCTTTTTCCTTCAACCTAAATGTAAATATATTTGAAATACAGTTCACCGAGGTAGTATTTGTAATGCCTAGCTTTTCTGAAAGTGTCCAGACTCATTGGTGGCAGTATCAATATACTGAAAAGGCACTTTGCTGTGTTATCTGTCATTATCAACTTGTGTTTGTTTTGGATAAAAACTGAAAAAGTTCATACAAATTATTATATTAGTGATTAGCCTATTATATTAGCCTTAGATATTCAGGTTGACCTCGTGTATCACAGCAATGTTTTGGTGCATCTGTCAACAATATATCCCATTGTGGTCTTGAAAATAGTTCTTAGTATTTCTGATTTGAATAGCTAATTACTTATATTAGTATACTTCATAGAAATTAGAAGTAGGTTATTTATATTATGACTATGTATTTAATGAAATGGCTTTCCTGTGGTCATCCAAGTAGTGAGTTTACCCAGATGCTACAACTAGTAAAGACTTCCTCAAGACTTTAAATTTAAACTTTTATCTCGATTTAGTCAAGAAAACTTAACAACTTGCAGTGTGTGGAGTAAAACTAATATAAAACAAACTCTCTATTAACCTATCTCAATAACTCTGTTGATAGACCAATAGGCAACATTATGACTAAAATAGTATTGGGAAAAGTATTAACCTATATAAGACATCTATCCTAATCCTTGAGATCTCAAGGGTGATCATAGCTAGCATTTCAGTAACTTACTCTATAATGAATGTTTCTGTCTTGAAATCAGAAAAGGAAAATCTTATCCTATATTTTATACTTTTTTTTTATTTATTGTGGGAACAAAAGGGGGTGAGAAAATTACAGTGGCAGAAGAGAGCTCAGAGAGACACAGGAACCTCTAAATTCTTGAAATGAACACTTGAAACATGCATGCCATAAAAGTTCAAACATGAATTTTTTCCCTG